CTTCCTTCCTTCCTTCCTTCCTTCCTTCCTTCCTGGTAAGTCTTCCCCACCCACACACCCTCCCATGATTGAGTTTAGATTTCCTGCCAGCTTCCCCATTGACTTGTGGGAAGCTGTCAGGGAGCACTGAAAGGAGGATCACGTGACTGCACCTGACCGTGGCAGCGCAGTGGCAGTGCTGAAGCAGCAGCAGGGCAGTGGTGCTGAACAGTCAACAATTTTCCCAAATTTCAGCCCCGCGGGAGTAATGGGTCCCAGATTTTGGACGCATTCTGTAAGTTGGCTCATTTGAGGTACCTTGGTTGAAAAATTGTTGCTCTGTGATGCACTGTTTCACCCAATTGAAGGTTACAAACAATCAAGCAGACACGAGAGTTTTAGCAGTATACAGATATAAGACAGGCAATGCCCCAACCTTCAGAATAGAAAGCTTTATTTTCAGTGAAGAGAGTCATACTGCAGGCTTCTCAGAAAAGGTCTCCTTCAGCATGGTAATTTATGCCCAAATCTCCTGGAAAGTTTGAGGCTTAACCACTTAGAGACGAAACATCTCTGGGAGTTAGTACAATCTTCTCTGGACATTTTTACGATTCTATGAGAAGATGGAAGACTTGAGTCTTGTGATCATCTTGACTGATGGCTGGATTTCCCTTCTTGCCACCCAGTGGATGGCCCTAAGTGCCCAGGAAGCGGGCTTTGTTCCTTCACCAGAAATAAGGATGCTGATTTCAGGGCATGTCTTACACATCATACAGAGGGATATACTCTGCTGATGGCATATTTATGGATGATGGATTTTCCCCATCACTGCTTAGGGGCAGTCATGCTTTTCTCCTTGTGGAACAGCCTCAGGACACTTTCACGGATCTCTTTCGTCTTCACTCCATAGACAATGGGATTCATCATGGGGGGCAGAAGAAGGTAAAGGTTGGCCATAATGATGTGAACATGGGGAGTGATGTGATGACCACCAAAGCGGTGTGCAAAGAAGGTGAAGAAGGCTGGTGTATACGAGATAACAATGGCACAGATGTGAGCACTGCAGGTGCCAAACGCCTTGCTCCGTTGTTCCGGAGAGGAAAGGCCCACCACCGCCTTCAAGATCATGGCGTAAGACGTGGTAATGCAGAGGATATCAAAGCCCCCAATCAGCAGGGCGACTGTCAGGCCATAGATGGCATCCACACGGATATTGCTGCAGGCCAGCTTTACCACTGCCATGTGGTCGCAGTAGGTGTGAGCAATGGCTCTGCTGCCCCAATATTTCATGTTCCTGACTAGGAAAGGAAAGGGGAGGATGAGAACCGCTCCTCTGAGGAAGGTAAAGAGCCCCACCTTGAGGATGATGGGGTTGGTTAAGATCGTAGCGTATCTCAGTGGATAACAGATAGCGACAAAGCGGTCCAAGGCCATGAGCATGAGGACTCCGGATTCCATCCCGGTGAAGGTGTGGACCACGTACATCTGGACCAGGCAGGAGCTGAAGCTGATCTCCTCCAGGTTTAGCCAAAAAATGCAGAATGCTTTTGGCATCGTAGAGGTGCCCATGATTATGTCCGTGACAGACAACATGCAGAGGAAGTAGTACATGGGCCTGTGAAGGACCTCCTCAGCCCAGATGATGTAGAGAAGTCCACAGTTCCCCACCATGCCAATGAGGTACATAGAGAAAAATGGGAAGGAGATCCAGAGATGAGCGCGCTCCAGGCCTGGGACCCCTTTCAAGAGAAACTGCACGAGGCCGTAGTCAGTTTCATTCATGATGCCCATCATGGGAAGAGAAAGGTACGGGAGCCACCCTAGAATGTAAAGAGTCTGGGAACAGAAACACAGGAAGAAATCCGCCAAACCAATGTCAGGCTTCATTCCAAACACCTGAATGGAATAAGATCCCTTCTAAACTATTTTTATCACTTTCACAAACATATTAATTACTGCAAGATGTGTGCTTCACTGACCACCATGAGGCACCGTGTTACCAGTCTCGTCTTTATTGGGAGTCATCCGATGTGGGCAGCCTGACGTTATTCTATGGGGTTCAAACCTTCCACTGAGAATAAACTCACAGACCTTTCCAGTTGGGTGACTGTGGACAGTGCGGTAGTTCTGGGAGCCATCCAGCTCCTGGCATTCGGTAGTCTGCAGGAAAGGGTCTATGGGGGCGATCCGAAGGGTCTGCACAGTCCAACTTCCAAAGCTTTCAGAGCACAGAGACACAGAGAGAGGTCCACGTCCGATGATTCTCAGTAAGGGTATGAGACGTGTATATGGATATACACTGTGTAAAACGAAGGAGGCTTCCACCCCCTCCTCCAAAATCCCGTGCATGCAGGCCTGGCATAATCTAACATCTGTGCTCGGAGAGCTTAAGGGGAGGTGGACTATACAGACTATTCTGCTAACCTTTACAATTTGTAGAACCCCTTTATCGATCTGTTTCTTCTTTTAGTATGCCTGAACTTCTGTCCTATCCGATGGACACTTTTACGCATCTCGCTTGAGGACGCATAAACGAAAGCAAACACAGCATAGCTCTGTATTTACTTTACCATCTCTTCCTGGGGCCGTGCACCGGCAAACGCCAAATAGCAAAATTATGGCAAAGCCAACCAAAGCGATCTCCCTGAAAAATACTATTGTAGAGCATAAGAGCCACGAAGGAGGAAATGGTGCAAAAGGTTGCATTTTTGCGCACCCCAAATGGGACTCACTGACCCAAGAGCCAGGGGGGCAGGGGTGTCTGAGCAAAGGTCCAGACGTGCCCCAGAACTGGCCGGAGCGCTCAACATGTCTGCAGCAAACAGGCTGAAGGATCGAAGCAGAACGCTACATCCCCTAAAGACGTTCTCACGAAGTACCTTTGCACTGTCAGCTACAGGAGATCCTTCGTGTATCCAGACCAGATTTGCACGCAACCTTTGGAGAACAAAACTGCAGGAGGCAACTCTTGGCAGGATCTGGTCACACTTCAGAACTCAGCTGATGCTGAGGATGTGTTGTCACACATCACACAGAGATTCCTCTTTTGCAGCACCTTTCACCTCAGGGGCAGGTGGCACTGCTTGAAGGAGCAAATGCCTTGGAGAAACTGATGCCTAGGAGCTCAGAAGACACCTGCTCATGATCAGCCAAATCCCTGCCAGCCAGTCCGTGTCCTTCTCTGAAAAACGGGTTTATAGACCTTCAAGATACAGAGTCCCTTTGGGATTCTCCTGGAATCAGCTACCTGTGAGGCTGTAGAGAACATTCAGAGGCTGAAGCCGGACAGGAGGAGGCTTCTCATGGGAGTTTCCCAGTCACCCTGCCCTCCCCGGTGCTCCGAGGCTGAACTGACCCCTGGTCTCTAAGTCTTCACTCATCCTGGGAAATAGGAATTGGCTAACTCTCCCAACACTTTGGAATGGGTCTCCCACATCCAAGCCGTCCATTTCTCCGTTCTCACTGACTGCAACCGGCAGTCTTCTCTCTCTCCCCATCCCAAAGTCAACTGCTCCTTCTGTCAGTGCTCCTTCTCTAGTATCCCATCATCTGTTCTGCCCCTTCAGCCATCCTACATGAACTGTAGGCACCACAGGCCGGAAGACAATCAACGCGTGCATCTTCCCTCAAAGCCCTATCCCCTTTACTCCATGGACTCAACCGTTCATGGGGTAGGCGTTGTTAACGCGTTTCCTCAGAACGGAGCCATGCAGTGCGCTCTTATGAGCCACTTAAACAATGCTCCTATCGCATTCATTCCGCAATAGCTGAGTGGCTGAAATAGCAACGCATTCTGCTTGACTTGAAGAGCAAACTGTGCTCCTTGGTCTCCTTCTTCAGGCCAAGGGAGGCATGACATCACTGTCCAGGGACGTAAAAGGGCGCCACAGAGGAGATGGCCAGGAACCGCAATGCAATCTACCCAGAAACTACAACCGCCCAGAACGTGGTGGCGAGTGTGTTCTGGGTGTGCCACGTTTTGTTCATGTTCCACCAGTGCTACATGAGCTCCGCTGGCTTCCGGGTTCTTTCTGGGAGCACTTCAAGGGCTGGTTATCAGCGTTAAAGCCCCAAATGGCATGGGGGCAGGTCACTTGCAGAACTGCCTCTCCCGATGGTATCTGCCCGTCCCAGCAGGTCAGATAGGGTGGGCACGCTCCAGTCCCTTCCCTTAAATGTTGACCTCTAGTGGCACCTACTGTAGGAAGTCTGCCTTTGTGAGGAAAACACATCTTTGGGTGAAGGAAGGAAGCTGTCAGAGGCCTCAGATGAATGGGATCGCCCTCGTAACATTGAAATATCAAGGAACGTGCAGGCTGGCTGTAAAGAATTTGTCCAGCCGGGGTGAACTGGGGTGATTGTAGAAAGCCTCATCTCAAAGCCTGATCGCAAACATCCCATTGCACAAGGCGTCTGTCTCGCAGTCCTTCCTGGCATTTGGTACCTTGGACTAACCTCTTCCTTCCTCTTAGTAAGGCTGTTGTTTCCCTTGAAGGCAGCAGGTAAGAAGAGGGGCAGATCCACGAGCCATCCCCCTCGAAGGAGGATGAGATAAGAAGGGGGCAGAAGCTAACTTGGGGCCTATTGCTTACTGATGGGTGTCTGCATCATCGCATGATTATGTACGCACATGCATCCTTTTCCCTTCCCCCAAATAAAGATCAAGGTATCCATCTTGCCTGCAGGGGAGAGTCTCCCACGAACCCTTGGTGGGTCCCCTCCAGTGCGCGCCGCAGGGAAGCCTTGATTATTTTGCACTTCGAGTCCTGCGTTTTGATTCCACGCCTTCTCTGCCTGCCCTGCCCTGCCCTGCCCTGCCCTGCCCTGCCCTGGGGCACACCCTCCCCCCAGGATCCAGCTGGGCACCCGAAATCTCAGACTCAAGACTTCGTGGCTGTGTTCCTGCAACCCCTTTAACTAGGCCCAGCGGCTACACCCACCGCCTGCTTAGTGTGGCAGATGCTGACCTTGGCGATTGGGTTGCCTTCTGCCAGCCAGGCCCATTTGGTTAGTTCAAGGCATTGTGAACCCCCAGTAAATGGGTGCATTTGGTAGCTAGGCGTGACGTGTTGCGGAAACGCCTGCAGAGGCCTCAGACGGCCTCGCAAGATGCCATGTTGACTCACTCCAGGTTGACAGCCCTTCTTCTGGCTGAGGAAGGTAGAGCTTCCTGGGCGAGAGCTACCTGGAGCAAACAGGCCGCTCCAGAGTAGAGCAACAACTGGAGAGAAGAAGGTTGCTGGCTCTGCGCTTGCAGCTTGAATATCAGCTCCTCCTTTCTGCTTGGGAGCGATCGGGATACCTCTCCGCAGGTTTTTAGAGCTTGCGTCAAACTGGCTGAACGATTCTGTGCCATCAAGTCGCTGTCGACTCTTAAGCGACCAGATAGATGGATAGACAGGCAGATTAGGACATTATTATAATAAGCACTACAAATACGCAGCACTAACATCTGCTAAAATCCCCCAAATGGTTTCAGGAAATAGCCTGAAGGAACCCCTATTTCAATTTCTCAAGGAGGTTTCCAACACGCCCATTGCAACCCTGTGGGCCTTCCTGAAGTTTGCAGGAGCACACCCCTCCTTCCAGCCCACAGGGATGTGTATTCCCTCCTGCACCGCTGTGTGCCTGCAACGGTTACCGGATTTGTCGGTTTCGATCACGGGACTGCTGATCCCGCGGGGGACTGAGCCACAGTATTAAGCGGCTCCTCCTCTCCGCCTGTTCGTGGCAGGTTTGGTGTGCATGTGTGCAGCCCAGGCTGTGACCCCGGAAGAAGCTCCAGGCGAGTCGATGTGCCTGCGTGCCCGCTAAGAAGCCAGAAGTGCCCCTCCTCTCCAGGAAAGGCGCTGCGGTTGTTGAACTGGGCACTGGAGAGGGGCGCAGAAGCGAAGGCCTGGAAGGGCGATGCCAGCAATTGCTGGGGATGGGTGGGATCAGCCCGAGGGGCTTCGGTCACACCCGGGGCACGGCCAGAAGCACTGGATGTGCTCAGCCCAAGGTGCCCCATTACTTGTAGCCACCTTCCTGGCACAGGGTTTGTCCCGGACTTGAGGAGGATGACTGCTCTATTCGTACCGGATTTAATTAAATTGAAGGGAAGTTGGTTCTTAAAGCAGAATTTGTGAAGTACTGACCAAGCAGCAGCTTTTGCCCGTGTTTCCAGTTCTGGTGCCCTGCAGGTTCATGTGGAGGGTGGTGGTTGTCTGGATTTTAGAGCTGAATCTGTCTGGAGAGTCAGACAGAGTCACTGCTGACCGCAACGGGCTTTTCACATACTGCAACTGGGGTACGTACCATCGATACGGCAGCCGTAAACCGTCTCACAGGGAACCCGCACCTGCATAACCAGCTTGCCTTCCTCTCCCTTCCCTCCCGTCCCCGTTGCAACCCCACGTCAGTCGAGCCCTCCGGGTGTCTGATGAAGTGAGCGGCAGTTCACTAAAGCTTCTGCCTTGTCATGAGATGGGTTAATCGGAAAAGGGGCTCCCAGGCCCTCCTGACCTGGGGCCGCCGTAGCCCAGCACGGCTCTCCTCCGACAACGCTGATCACCCTGAGGCGCCTGCGGGAAAGGGCGTGAGGATCTGCCATCCAAGGCACGAGCCGCAACGCCCTTCTCCTTTCGGTGCTGAAACACCCAGGCAGGACGGAGCGGATCTCGCGAGGGCAGCCCCACCTCAGGGCGGGGGAGAAAGCAAGAAAGGGCTCTTGAGTTCTCCTGGCCCCTTTTCCAGCTTTCCAGCCCCTTGTCACGGCCGGACTGTCCATGTTCTTCTGGGCGGTCGAAGCCATGAGCTCTTCCTAAACGGGACAAGGTTTACAGGCGGCGGGAGCCCTGCTTGGTCATCCAAAGACGAGGCGGCCCATGTTTTTCTTAGCCAGCAAAGGAAGTGGCGGTAATCGGACGCCCCTCGGCCCCACTGGACTGTGGGCCTCCCTGGCTTTCTCTCCAATGCGCAAATCTCTTTGCCGCTGCAGGGCCCTGAAGAAGCACTGCCAGGCTCAGCTTCCACTGAGGGACCACCAATCCGCCACACCTTTTCCTCCCATGCCACACAAGTGCGCGTGCATGCACACACGCACACACACACAAAACAACAACTTTCCACTGTATGCATCTGCCCCAGCTATGCTCCTAGAAGCACCAGCATCTGCAGAGAAGGCTGCAACCAGGGTCTTGGTTGGCAAGCAGGACCTCTGAGCTTCTAAGCTGGGTAAACCTCCGTGATCAGTCCCTGAGTTGTGTGGGGGGGTGACCTCAGCCATCTCCAGAGCTCTTCCCTTTGGAACACGGGCGCGCAGTGTGCAGGCGTATGAGTATAAATGGGAAGGGGAGGCATCCTAGTGGTTCCCACACGGCCAGCCCCTGCAGGGTTAGCGTGTCCTTCCCTTTCTATTTCACGATAGAAAGCCCAGACAGGCCTCCAAGCCCAACCGCCGGCAGCAAAGGCTCATGGGCTTGAGGACAGACAACCCAGACCCCATTCTCTTAACTGCATAATCTGTGCGAGAAGAGGAAAGGGGACTTAAAACGCCAGAGCAAACATGCAGCCACAGATGAAAGCAATGTTTAAGAACAGGGCGCAGCTCAGCGTAAACATGTAGAAGGCAGCTCCAAAGGGCTCATCAGAGCAAGTCATGCAGAACTTTTAAATAAGGTTTTCAGGGGCTGGAAAGAAAAGGTCTGACGGCACGCCGCCGGGATGGACCTCTCCAGCTGCACAGTTTCTGCAATTCCACACATGCGACGCTTTCTCTGACCGCCTTGTTGTCTCTGTTGCAGGCAATGAAATGGTCGCCAAGGCCAGTTAGATGCCATGTCCTGTTACAATCAGTCCAGAGGCGCCTCGGTTTTTTTCCTAATGGGGATCCCAGGCCTAGAAGGCGCTCACTTCTGGATGGCCTTCCCCTTCTGCTCCATGTATCTGGTCGCTTTGGTGGGGAACATCACCATCCTCCTTGTGGTCAGAAGGGAGCCGAGCCTCCACTTGCCCATGTATTACTTCCTTTGCATGCTGGCCATCCTGGACTTGGTGCTGTCCACCTCCACCGTGCCCAAGATCCTCGGTATCTTCTGGTTCCACTCCCACACAATTGGCTTCAAAGCTTGTGTGATCCAGATGTTCTTCATTCATGGTTTCTCAGCTGTGGAGTCAGGCGTGCTGCTCGCCATGGCCTTTGACCGTTACGTGGCAATCTGTGACCCCCTGCGCTACACCACCATCCTCACCACCTCTGCTATTGCCAAGATTGGATGTGCAGCCTTCATGAGGGGCATTGGGTTCATGACCCCTTTGACCTGCATGGTGAGCCACCTCCCATACCGTGGGCCCAATGTCATTGCCCATTCCTACTGCGAGCACATGGCTGTGGTGAAGCTGGCCTGTGCAGATACAACACCCAACAACATCTACGGGATCACTGCCGCCACCTTTGTGGTGGGCTCGGATTCGGTCTTCATCGCTGTCTCCTATGCGCTCATTCTCAGAGCAGTCCAAGGCCTGTCCTCTAAAGAGGCCCGGCAGAAGTCCTTTGGCACCTGTGGCTCCCACATCTGCGTCATCCTGATCTTCTACACCCCTGCCCTTTTCTCCTTTTACACTCAGCGCTGGGGCCACAATATCCCTGCACATGTCCACATCTTCTTGGCTGACCTTTACCTTCTGGTGCCCCCCATGCTGAACCCCATCATCTACGGCATGAAAACCAAGCAACTCCGCCAGCAAGTGCTCAAGCCGTTCTTGCAACCCAACCTGAGTCTTGATTCCAGCTGTTAGAAGCCAGAGGGTGAGAAGGACACCTCCTAGGTGTTAGGTGTTCGTGTCTGTGTGTCAACATTCAGGTCATTTGTTGAAGGGTGCCTTCCACGTCTGGCCTGCGCCTCAGCACGTCAGCCGGCCTTTCTCTTCCACCTTTCGTCCCCTCAGAAAACTGGGAAACTTCAGCTCTAACAGAAAGCTTTCACGCTCAGCTACTAACACCTCAACGAATCTAGAAAGCAGCAGGACTCGAAGGATCCCTCTGTCAAAGATTTGCAGCCCATTAAGCTGCCAAAGACAAATGTAGGTGGTGCGACAGAGGATGGAGTTGGGCTGGGCTCGAACATTGCCCTGGGGCCTCTGTTGCATTGGACGCTTATGCAAAAGATGGCTTGGCCTCGGTCTCCGTTATAGGCAACCTTGTCAGGGTCAGTCTTTCCCTAGGGGGTGCCCTCCAGATACGTTGGCCATCCCAGCTGAGAATCTGGCGGGTCACAGCCTCAACGTACCTGGAAGATGCCTGTTACAAGGCCTGGAACGCAAGGCCAGCACCGTGAGTGGATCGAGGGCAGAGGTCCTGCTGAAGGGCTGACCTGCTGGGGGCTACCACTTGGTTTCACACGTTATTCCCTTTGATCGTCCCCTGCTAGGCCGCCTGGTACCCCCTTTCTCGCAAGAAGACACCAAGGAAAGAGGACAGAGAAGAAGGCGGCGGCAGCTAGCGAAACCCGCTGAGCTTTCTCGTTTCTAATAAACGCCGCTGGGCTCCGGAACGGGGAGCAGCTGGGCAAGTTGGGTGTCCATCGCTTTGGAGCAATGCTGGAGGCCGTGATCCAGAAACAAGGCTCTCCCTCCTCTGCTCCCCTCCCAAGCCCGCGATGCTCAGGGAGGGGGACGGGCCACAGGAGGGCACCTGCCGTGCTGCAGGAGGCCCCGATCCAAGCGCAGCAGCTGGGCACGGCAGCTTCCATGCCGCTGGAAAGCAGGGCCATCCTGGTCGCCAGAGGGGCAGCCGTGGCTTCAGGGCCTGGGTCAGAACACCTCACCCTCTCGGTGGCTCCAGGCTCCGCTCGGCCCTGGCCCACGAGGGCTGGCGCAGTGGGGAGAAAGAGAGGAAGGGTGCCGCTGTCCCCTCTGCCCGCCCTGTGCCCTTGGGCGCCTCCTGGGGGAACCGAGGCATGGAGGAAGGGCCTCAGATTAGCAGCCTTGTAGGCTGCCCCACCGGTGCTTGGCTCTGGCGCCCGCCTCGGGCACGTCCTGTCAACAGACGTTCCTCTTCCAGATACAAACGCCACCCCACTGATCCTCGCTCGGGTTAGATTCCTCCCGCTGCCCAGAAACAGGCAGCCAGTCTTCCCACACAGGCTAATCTCAGGGAGCAGAACCTGGGTATTCCTTCGTGGCCCTTTGGCCAGTGTGGGGAGACCCCAGAATGTGGGCTAAGTCAGTAACCAGGATAGGCAGGATGTGCAATGGGGCCACACAGAGGGCTAAGCCACAATAGGGTGTGTCTGGTTTTGCTTAGGATGGTGCCTGAACCCAAACATGGTGGGTTAAAACCATCATTGACAGCAGAGAGTGCTGGATGACACACACGCATGCACGCACACGCACACACCCGATTGTGGCTTACTTAAACAAACGTAAAGCATGAGCTGAGTCAGTCTAATCGGGTCCTCCTAGCATAGACCTTTCTTCTGTGTAATCCGCAAATGATGGTTTGTATCTCACGTGTTCTATCAAGCCACCAAGTCTGCTGCTGGCAATAAACCATGGTTCATGCAGTCATTCAAAAACAGCAGGCGTGCAGCAACCCCCGCTTGCTCCTGAGCAGCCCCTGGGCAGTTAGCCCAAAGAGAAAAGCACTGACGTCCGCAAAGCCTGGTTCGTTCCTGGGGTGCCCCGAGGGTTTTTACTTTGCTCCTCGATGCCAGTTACATGGCCACCTACATTGTAAAGGTTAACCCTGGGCAGCTCCTGTCCACCTCCATAAAAAACAGAGTGAAAAGGTCCGTCCTGCCTGCTTCCACGTCCTTCTTTGTTTTGCAGTCGGCCTACGGGGTGGGAGAGGATTTCATTCGGTTCTGGGCGGGGGTGAGAAACCTGAGCTCAATCTGGTGGCCTCTGCAGCTGGGGACGAGGCCCCTTCAGAAGACCCCGGTGCCCCCTGACCCCGCCCGCTCTCCAGGTGCAGGGAGACCCCCTTGGCCGAGGCGCGAGGAGCACTGCTTGGCGGCAGCTCTTGGGCCGAGGAAGGCCAGCAGGACCCCAGAGGGACGGACGGGTGGACGGAGGAGCCTTCGGCCTTCAGCCACGCAGCCGGACAGGCACGCTGCTTCATCGCCTTTGCACCCTCCTTTCTAACCGGCTCTGATCAGGGCTACAGGGCAATCCGTGGGCGGCGTTCTCGGGCGAAAAGTGAAATTCATGATTCGCTACGGAATATGGGGACCAGGATAAATGCTGATTGGAGGGTCTTTTTAACTTTACTGCTTCCTTTACTCAGTTTTATTTACAGTACAATGCAACGAAGACAATTATCAAAAGAAGATGCACGTAATGCATCTTCCTATCAAAGTGGTTTTCCAACAAGTTTGCAGCTATATGGAAATATGGAGTGCTCGGTTCTTAACATTTTGCTAAAAGACCCTGGTGGCCTCTCGTGGAGCCTTGAAGACCGGGCGGTGCTCCTGGACCTGGAGGTTCGATGGCCCGTCGAGAGGTCTCTGTTAATGGGGGGGGGGGGGGCCTTGATTGCCATTGTTAGAGAGAGACAGAGACAGAGACAGAGAGGATGATGGTAGAGATAGATGATAGACAGGCAGATAGAGATAGATAGATAGATAGATAGATAGATAGATGGGGGAGAGAGAGAGAGAGAGAGAGATGATAGTTGATAGATAGATCAATAGAGATGATAGAGATTAGATAGATGATAAATGACAGAGATAGGCAGATAGATGATAGAGGTATAGAAGATAGATGATAGGTGACAGAGAGAGAGATAAGAGATAGAGAGAGATGATAGAGAGATATAGATAATGATGGAGATAAATGACATAGATAGATAGATAGATAGATAGATAGATAGATAGATAGATAGATAGATGATGGAGAGATAAATAGGCAGGTAGGTGAAAGAGATAGATAGAAGGTGATAGAGATAGAGAGAAGATGGAGATTACAGAGAGAATAGAGAGATAGGTAGAGATAGATAATAGATGA